CTGTTTAATTTTCCCTTTTGGGGGGGGGGGGGCAATTCCATCTCTGTGATGTAAATTAGTACTGGTGTTGTTGTTCGGATGTCTTCTGATGATGTCATGGTCTGTTTTTGGGTTGATTTGATCAGCTGCATGTGATGTGGTCCGATTTCTTGTGATCTGTTGAGTTACGACTTTGTTTACAGCGTGGCTGTTCATTGGTCTTTAAATGATGCCTTCGGGATCGTGGTTGATGTTCTTTCATTCTGTTTTTCAGTAGAGTGAATCAAGTCAATGTGTCTTATTGATTTATTGGTGGAAAACCAGGCTTCCAGGAATTCCCTTTCTGTCCTTGACTTCACCTGGGTTACAACTGTGGTCCTGGTTAGATTGAATTTGTGTCGATTGTGGCGACAAAACATTTGGAATCAAATCACCCAGCTCGGAGCTCAAACCAACAACATAACTACAACCCAAGCTACCAATATTCAAATGAATAGTAATGGCACTTAGACTTATATACCACTTCATAGTGCTTTACAGCCCTCTCACTAAGTGGTTTACAGAGTCAGCATATTGACCCCAAATATCTGGGTCCTAATTTTACTGACCTCAGAAGGATGCAGGGCTGAGTCAACCTTGAGCTGCTCAGGATCGAACTCCTGGAGTGAGCAATGAGTTAGCCCTGCAGTACTGCATTCTAATCACTGTGCTACCACGGCTCTTGTAAACATAATGGGCAGCCTTAAATTGTTTTGGGTGTTTAGTTCTGTTTTTGTTTTAGGAAAGGAATGGCTTTGCCATACCCTTCTCATAATTCCTTTCTAGGAGTGCCAGAATCTGGAGTCTGAAAAAAACCAATTGCGTGAGGAGATGAAACAAGCTAAGTCACGGGAACTTCGGCAGTTGCAGGATTGTGGAGAGCTTGAGGAAGAAAATATCTCCCTGCAGAAACAGGTCTCCATCCTCCGGGGAAATCAGGTATAACGATGTCCACCATGTGGGCACCTGGCATTAACCTCACCTGTATGTACCTTCCATTATATGTATCATTATATCTAGACTTGATCTACTGTTGATTTGAAATGAACTAGGTTATTCAGTGCTTAACTCCTACATTCTCAGGACGCTATTCAGATGTCTACAATTGTGGGCAAGGTATGCAATTTCATTAGTAATATTATCCTTGTCCTGAGCTAGCTTGTAATGGGAGAGAGAGAGAGAGGACTTAGACATTTTTCAGCGCATGGAGAGTATCTGGCTGTTTGCGTACAAGATGGGATTTGGAAGAAATTAATAGGGTTGAGTGGAAATAAATAGTGGATCCTTTTGCAGAAAGAAGGGCCTGTTGAACTCATGAACTTAACTGGACACTTCACTTCCTTCTCTTCTAGCTTTCATCCTCTCTGCATAGTTTACCTGCTGTTGCCTGGGCCTCCATGAGTAGGAAGTGCCTTAGCTAGTTCTTTATTTGAATAGTGTGCAAGACATGGAGAAGGTATAAATCAACCTTCTCTAGCCTCTGCTATCCAAGTGTGTGGAATCTACAATTCCTAAATGCCACGGTGGTTAGAAATTTTAAGAGTTGTAATCCCCATACACTTAGTGAATCATTGTATATTGGTGGGTGGGGTGGGGGATAAATTTCACTTTTCTTTAAGAATATTGGTGGTTTTGGAATATTCTCTACGGTTCCACCACAAAACCGCGGTCGACTAAAGTGCGCTCGACGAAACCGCGTACCTGACGTCATCACAGCGCGATGAAAAAAGCACGCTGTGAGCGGTAAAGAAAATTAACGCGTAAACCTAAACCTAACCCCCCCCCAAACCTAACCCTAAACCTAACCCTAAACCTAACCCTTAACCTAACCCTAAACCTAACCCTT